TGGAGACTACTGTTTGTTACACTTGACTCCAACTTGGTAATGACGGTTAAAGTAGTAGTAGTTTGACAGCCGCAACTTGCATCATGTACGTTGTAGGTCAACTGAGTGTGTCGTACGAGTTGAGCTAGTAAGCTGTTGAGTTCCGCCTGCATTTGAAATACGATTTCCTCAGTAGTGCTTCCGAAAGACGCATTGAACAATGATTTCATATACAAAGTATTTTTTTTGCCAAATTGAAAAGTGGTACTGTAAAAACATTTAATGAATGTTGATCAGTGTTACAGTAGAAGTGCAGATTAGCCGGTTCAAATTTTGTAAAAGCCTTAATTTTAAAGGTTTTTTAATGAGAAAAGAAAGGTTCAAATTGTCCGTTTGTGTGTTTGTTGAAACAATTTTAACTGATAGACAAGAATGGTTAAAAAGAGTTCTACAAAATGTCATGAACAAAAGCAGAGTAACAGTTCTGATTGTAAACAAGTTGAGGTCGATGCCGTGGTTATAGCGCATATGGGTTAAACAACTGAACTGTTACATTAGTACGTAATCTGTCGACAAAATCATTGCAGTTAGTTTTTCTTATTGAAGGAATTTTTTTAGTATATAAGAAAAAAAAGGTGCCGAAACGGTGTAATTTTGGTATGTTGGTTGAGAGATATCGATGTATGGAATATTGTATACTGCGTTTGGCAAAATTTCATGTCTATTAGAAGTTGTAACATTGTAACTGGTTACAGTCACTAAACTAGGCAATTTGTTTGGGTTGCCGATTATATGGCAGTTTAATTATAGGTGTTCTGTGTTTGTTGTCCTTTTGTTGTCCTCTCCAACGTAGTGTACACGCAGTTAATTTATTAATTTTATCACAGTCCATTGTATTTGTGCCGAAGGATGTAAATTTCGCATAATTTAGATTTTTTTACAATATATTTCAGTGTTCTTTTTTTGCTTTTGTTTTTCAAAGAAAACATGTAAAATTTTGTACACATGGTACATTTCTTCTGGTGTGCTGTAAAAAAATTTCTTTATTGCTTTGTTTTAACATTTAGTTTACAATTGCCATTTAAAATGTTAACAAATATCTAAAGAGATAATTTTATTGTAAAGAAAAAAAAAGTTGAAGAAAAAAATGTTTATCAGTGCGGCTGTAAAATGCACGTTCTCCACTTAGATTATATTCAAAAATTTTTATGTGAGAAATTGTGACAAAATTTTATATTATTTTAACAGCAAAATTTTGTCGATTAACGTCGATTTTTATTAAAGTCATTAAAACAAGTCATAAAAACATTGTTTGCAGACAGGTATGGCAGATTTTTAGATATTAAAAAAAAAAGTAGGCAATAGTTATTACTCTTTTTTTTCCTGGAACTTTTGAACTGTAGGGTCGTCTGAGAGCATGTGAGTGTCCTTTTTCTCGACTGGAAGTAAAAAAAAAAATGTATTTCTATCGTTTTAGGAGGATAGTGTATTACTCTCTAAACTGTCTAAGCTTCGTTAAAGACAACATTAAACAATTTTTAAATTAGTATTATTATTTTTCAATTCTTGACGGTCCGTCCTTATTTCTCAAAGACCATTGAAAGGTCAAAAGAATAATCTCTCTCATTGCTG